ATATTGAATGAATGTATGGTAAAAATACCGAATTAATTTGAACTAGCTGAATAACATATTTGCCAAGCCTCTAAATATATACAAGCGACCGTGTAATACTTCTTTTTAGAAGTTGTGAAAAGAGACACGATTATATGATCAAGAGTTCCCAATACCTTACGTATTGGGAAACTTAACACAATCAAAGTAAGAACTAAATTTCGGTAGAAAAGTGAATTCAAGATTTGCGGTTGTGGCAAATGTTCAACAATTTAGTTATTGATTTCATAAACCCTAATACTCGATTGTCGAAGATTTGGTTTACCCTAAGATATCTACAAGCAAGGTTTTAAACGGCACGCGTAAAATGGCTGCGAAAGAATTCATCAGTGCGTGTTGGTTGAAAAATAAAGGGAAATCGTTTCTTGCCGTCCCGCGTTAGTAGTTGTTTTCATACAGGGGCAGGACGGACCCGTACGCTTCGTTAATGTCATGTGCCAATAACATGTAATCGTAATAATTTATCATTAGCCCTGAAACATTGAATTGATAAAAATCTCGTTTAAAAAAAGATACATGTATAATAACCCTTTTAATAAAAAGCAAAAATTTTGGAACCGCAAACCCGAATTAAAAAAACCCCAAAATAAAAAAAAAATTTTGGAAAGAATTAACCCGTAGTAAGAGACATTAAAGGCAATCAGACCCCTTAACCCAATCTCACCAAAAAAGTACAGCACACCATGTGACCTCTCTTTAAACTTATTAATAGTTGACTATTTAAGATTTTTAAAATAAAACTTATGTCGATAGATCACTATCTAAGCATCTCAAAAAGAAAATAACAAACTTTTAAAGGAATAAATTTCTTTCAAAACGAACTCGTTTCAAAGTTCTAACAGTCATGAAAAATGAATATAACATCGACACTGTATTAAAAGACAAACTCAAGGGCGACCTTCAAAAAGGTGGCCTCTTAAATAAATGGTTCGCAATGGAAATTTGGAAAAAATTGAGACTTTTTTAATATCCACAATGATATATATATACATCTTTTTATAACAACACAAACTGTACAATATTATGTGTGTATGTATAACAGTTTCATAATTACATTTATGCTCTTTTTTTAAGTCATCGAATCTGTGTTTGTTTTTGTATTTTAGTATAAATTTGTGTACAAATGTAATCTACGCTCAAAATACTATCAAGCAGGTCATTTTGACCATGAAACAAGGCATATTGTCTTATATTGTTAATATGTTCATACATTTCTCCTGCTGAGCATACTTTCAAAGCATAAGCCAGAGCTCCAAAAAAAATTTCATGCAATTAGTTTTAAACTTCTTGATTTCTTCAGCAATTAGTTTTGGCACTACCCTATTTCAAATTCAACAAGTTTTTTAGACGTCTAGGATTTTTTTGCGGTGTACGAAAAAAAACGAGCAAAGGCATTTCCGAGATCGAGCGGAAGGTCGTGTAACACCGCACTTTTGGGTCAAACGCACTTTTTTGTCCGACCCCAAAGTACGCTCAACTTCACAGCGCACTTTGGGGTCAAACGCACTTTGGGGACAGAATCATGAAATTGACCCCAAGGTGAGTAAATATGCTACAAATCAACGAACTTTGGGTTCCGAAAATAAATTTGAAGGTTACAAGTGAGTTCTGATTAAATGCCGAGTACTGACTTATATTGACATTGAAATGCATGTATTTGAGGTGGAGTTTAAGATGACGGTGGTACTTACATACATTACTGTGCAATCTTACTAAAGCCTTTACATTCTAAAGTGTATGATTCTTAAGTAGTAAATAGTTTTTTATCAGTTAACTACTTGAACTATCTTAAATATATTAACTATTTCATAAATTTCTCAAGTAGGTGATGGCCTGTAGCGGCTATTTCAAACCCGCGAGAAACTTTATCGTTTAATTATAAAATGTCGCCGGCAATTTTTTACAGTTGTTGTAAATAGCAAGGAACATTTGACTCCAGTGGCCGGTAGCGTCCAAGGTTAGACTCTTCACTTTAACACTCATTTGTCTAAAAAAAAGTCGAGGAACAGAAAGAAATCCGCAACATCTTTTGGAAATGTTGTAGGAATTATACAAAAAAATGAGGGAAAAATCATAGGTCGCGACTTTTTGTTCCATGAAGTATCGCGGCGAGATAGAATTAAATCAACCGCGACCTTTTAAAAGTGACATTTTCATGTATAATAAGTCGACACTTATTGCTCTAACTCTACTACATCTAAGATTTAAATGGCTTCATGAGCTACCTACAGTAGTAGGCATATACTTATATAGTTTAGTCTTCTACTCGACTTTATGGACAAAAGTGTGAAAAAACTCGAAGGTTTCTTTAAAATGCGACATTTTATACCATTTCGACATAAAATATCGCGGATTAAAAAAGTTTCCCGCGATATGTTATAGACTGGCGGTAAAAGTTCTCGCGACTGTAAAACTGGACGCTACAGACCACCATAATTGTACTTAAATTATGATTTGATTCTTAACTGGTAAATTTTTTATTAATTTTACCACTTGAAATATCGGGAGAGTTGTGACTATATAACAAACTACTATAGTCACGGGGGAGGAACTGTTATATGAAAGATAACTTGTCACAAAGTACGTTAAATGCAGTGAATATAATTTCATTTTCTGTTTAAATGATTTGTAACAGGTTAGAAATAAAATTAACTATAATAAAATTGCATGACGCATATGGCAGCACTTCATTTCAAGCCTTTTTTTCACTTTTGATATTCCCAAATATTTGGACCACATGATATCGCAAATGAAAACGTATACAATGTCGAAAAAATATTAACATATTAGCAATAAAGGTTTGTAAAATAATTTATAACTTTTAAATAATTATGTCCGTTATGACTCAGTGAAGTGCGGTCGTCTACGGAATGCCGTTAGGGCCATTGCCTATGAATGTGTTGATCTGAAACGCGATAGTCGATAGTACGATGGTGAAAACGCGAAATCACGAAACTACGATGGTGAAAACGCGAAAGTACGATGATGAAAACGCGATAGTACGATGATGAAAACGCGACAGTACGATACTACGATGATGAAAACGCGATAAACTATCGTGTTTTCACCATCGTACTGTCGCGTTTTCACCATCGTAGTTTCGTGATTTCGCGTTTTCATCATCGTACTGTCGAGTATCGCGTTTCAGATCAAACCATTCATAGGCGATGGCCCTAACGGCATTCTGGAATGCCGTTAGGGCCATCGCCTATGAATGTGTTAATCTGAAACGCGATAGTCGATAGTACGATGGTGAAAACACGAAATCACGAAACTACGATGGTGAAAACACGATAGTACGATGATGAAAACGCGATAGTACGATGATGAAAACACGACAGTACGATGGTGAAAACGCGATAGTGCGATGATGAAAACACGACAGTACGATGATGAAAACGCGATAGTACGATGGTGAAAACGCGATAGTACGATGATGAAAACACGACAGTACGATGATGAAAACGCGAAATCACGAAACTACGATGGTGAAAACGCGACAGTACGATGGTGAAAACACGATAGTTTATCGCGTTTTCATCATCGTAGTATCGTACTGTCGCGTTTTCATCATCGTACTTTCGCGTTTTCATCATCGTACTTTCGCGTTTTCACCATCGTAGTTTCGTGATTTCGCGTTTTCACCATCGTACTATCGACTATCGCGTTTCAGATCAACACATTAATAGGCAATGGCCCTAACGGCATTCCGTAGTCGTCTGCTTGATGTTACAAAGTGCATATATACCTGTGACACGCTCTTTGTGGTTAAACTTTGACACTAAATGCGTAACGCACTTTGGAGTTGGACCCCAAAGTACTTAACGCAGTTTTGGGTGGGACTCCAAAGTGCATTCGACCCTAAAGTGGGGAGTTTAACGGCTTATTGTATGTATTGTTTATTTATATGTCTTGTTATTCGTTTAAATTGTCTATTGCATTTCATATGTTGTATTTTCGCATTGTTGCATTTTGACTTTTTCCTTTGTTATATTTTGGCTTTTTCGCATTGTTGTATTTTGACTTTCGCATTGTCTTTTTTCGTTTTTTAGAATTGTTGTGTTTTCACATTTTCGTATATTCGCCGAAGCAATTCAAAAATTTAACAATGCGAAAATGCTACAATGCCAAAATGTAACAATGCGAAAATGCTACAATTCCAAAATGTAACAATGCAAAATGTAGCAATGCGAAAATGCGAAGAGACAACAAAATTATACTTTGTGTTCCCTTTGTGTTTTCATATTTTTGTAATTTGAAAGCAAAAAGCGAAAATACGACAATTGGAATGCGAATATACGACGGTTTCTATGTGTCGTATTTTTGCCGTCCTTCTGTCGTTGTTCGCTTTTTCGCCTCGAAAACGCAAAAAAGCAAAAACATGAAGAGACAACAAAGTCAACTTTGTCGTCCGTTCGTGTTTCTGCATTTTCACATTTTGTGGCAAAGAAACGAAAAACGATATGGCGTAAATCAGCCACCATAGAAACATTACATTTTGGAAGAAACAATCGTATTACAAGCACCTGCTCAGAAACATTTGTTCTCGGTGGAACTGAAAATATTCACTTTTGTCGAAATGCACGGACACACGTTTTTAAAGGTACTTAAAAACCGTGTCAAAAATCATGATTGATCGATCAAATAAGGGACATCCTTTATTTTGCCATGCAAATGTTTCAATATTTGGACCACAATCAAATTTTAAGCATAAAATGGAATCTACGGCAGCCATAGGTGACACATTCGCGATTACATTTATTTCGGTATAGTTGTTGAAAAGATATCGCAATTTATTAGTTGTATTTATAAGGTATATATTTCTCAGTCTTAAAACGTGTCTTTTTAACGTTTATAGCTTTTATCTATAGAAATTCAAAGACTACGCTCCTCCTTATACGCCAAATTCATATTGCTTCCCGCTCAACATCGAACATCTCGCTCCACTTCTTTCGAAAAATATCGATATACAAATTTACGAAATCCACCAGAAGTAATTTATGTTGAACGAAGTTCTTGTCACGGGTTGATATTTTTCTAAAACATTCGAATGGTAGAGCATCTAAATGGTAAGTCAGTTTAATATTCTACAAATCATTGTTCACTTCGTCAGGAAAAAAGTTTTCCCGGGTTAAATATATTTTTTTCTTTCTATAACAGCTTAGATCATTGGAAGACTTACACAGTTAAACAATCCTACACGGAACAACATTTTTTCGTTTTTCGTAAAAATACAACTTAAATTAATAACAAAACAAAAACATAAACAATATTTACAAGTAGCCGTTTATATCGATCTTTCGCCTGTTTTTTCCGTACACCACAATTTTGAAGTGGAGCGACAGTTTGCCAGACGTGTAGATGGAGACAACGTGTTTACGCATGATTTAATTTTAGCTTGGTTCCTCGAAATAAAATCATGGTTAACAACAGACAGTCGCACAGTCCATCATTTGTATACAGAGATAAGAAAACATTGTCTTTCCATGAAAAGGAAATGTAAATAAAATTTTTGCAACAAAGCCAGAAATTCAAATTTGGTCAAATAGTGAAAAGCTGTTGTATTTGAATGTTTTATGCACTTTTGTATTTATTGACGACTCGAATATTAAATCGTGTCATTCCGTAGTAAACATGCGTCTTATTCAAAATCATATTGACTCGGCTGCTTCGAAGACTTATGATACTACTCTACGTCAACAGAATAAAATGTTCTGTAACAAAATATGATTCTGCTATTTTAAGTAGGGGTGTATCCGTTTAGCAATGATTTCGTGCATCCGCTTTTCAATGTTAAATTAGAACCATATTTAATTCATACAAAAAATGGAAGTGTAAAGATTATATTGGTTGGAAAGAAATACAAAAGAAATACTTTTTAAAATTCCTGGAAAAGAATATGCCATCATACAAGCCTTATCATCTCAGAAATAGATTTATTGATCTTTGACATTGATAATCATAATCATTGATTATATGAAATATATTGATTTCTTGTTTTATGCTGATAGAAATATATAAAACATAGGCTTGGCTGGTGGATATATACTTTACTATGATGTTTGTGCTAATAACATTTCTAAACTCAATAAAAAAATAAACAGTTTTCATTTAATTATGAACAAAGTTAATTATTTGTACATATGTAGATGTGTTCATTAATCAAATTAAAGTTTGTGTGTAATCCTTTAACCCCAGGGATTATCGGTTCGAGCCTTACTTTGGTCACGACCATGTTTCTTCATATGACACCAGTACTGGTTTGTTCCAGGAAGCCGACCCGAAAGTGATCAATATAAGTTGCAAGAACTTGTTTTGCAATCGAGCTTACAATAATGTAATTAAACATAACTTATCCATTTCATTATTTTGTTGTTTCTTATGATTTTGTTTTTTATTTTAGAAAAGTGTCTGAATCACCAGACGATAGTGCGTTCAGTGTGACAGATCATTTTTCATCCGAAAAAATGATCAAGTGTGAAAAGAATAATATCAAAACCTCTCAGTATCAAGTGATTCTTGGGTAATAATATTGTTCTCATAAGCAAATATCATGCAATTGTTTTCAGACTTCTTCGATTTCAAATAACGCATAATTGTGTATTGCTTAGTGTTTGTTAAATTGTATTCATGAAAATAAATCTGAGTGAGTGAGTGAGTGAGTTGGTGAGTGTGTGAGTTGGTGAGTGAGTGAGTGAGTGAGTGAGTGAGTGAGTGAGTGAGTGAGTGAGGGAGTGAGTGAGTGAGTGAGTGAGTGAGTGAGTGAGTGAGTGAGTGAGTGAGTGAGTGAGTGAGTGAGTGAGTGAGCTGGTGAGTGAGTGAGTGAGTGAGTGAGTGAGTGAGTGAGTGAGTGAGTGAGTGAGTGAGTGAGTGAGTGAGTGAGTGAGTGAGTGAGTGAGTGAGTGAGTGAGTGAGTGAGTGAGTGAGTGAGTGAGTGAGTGAGTGAGTGAGTGAGTGAGTGAGTGAGTGAGTGAGTGAGTGAGTGAGTGAGTGAGTGAGTGAGTGAGTGAGTGAGTGAGTGAGTGAGTGAGTGAGTGAGTGAGTGAGTGAGTGAGTGAGTGAGTGAGTGAGTGAGTGAGTGAGTGAGTGAGTGAGTGAGTGATGCTGACACTAAAACATTATTTTAACCTATGTATTCATATGAAGTGAACATCCAATGAAATCTTATTTTGCCTAAGGTGATATACAAAAGTACGAGTATTTGCATATTTTGGGACAGTTATCATATTTATTCAGTGTACTCGTCCATAAAATTAAAAAAGAGTAAAATACATTTTTACGATTCTCATTTCTACAGACAAAACGCATTTTCTTTTTTTTTTTCGTTTTTTATTTGTTCATTACCTTCCACAGTGCATACTACAATCCAAGATCAGACAGCAATGAAGCTACTATAACAGTGACAATAAATGTGCAAGGATTATCAGAACGTAAATATCCTGCTATATTACTTTGACGTGTAATGGTTTTGTTTACTTCGATAATAATTAGTGATAAAATAGAATCTATGTGGTAATATTAAAACTTATTGTGTCTTTTTGTTAAAATGCAGAGAAAATGTCATTTTCGTTTAAAGGCGTATCTTGAACGAATAACATTATCTGCCATATACAGATGTGTAATGTCGGATAAATGTAACACCATTTTTTGAAATTTTGATAATTCTTTTGTGGTTTGTTGCCAATAATGATGCTGTATACTACCAACAAAATTATTTATTGTATTATTAACCTTCTACTTTGAACCAATTCGCTTTAATGAGTCAGATAGTTGTTACCATGAACATTCTGGGTATTAGAAAAAAAAATGTTTAAAAACTTTCTGAAATCAATTGAAGCAAACTGCTGCTGCACCGAAATTGATTTTCTCTTATACGGTCATATGAATTTATGTGGGATGTTCAGAATGTTTTGAGACTGGTCGGAATTTTTCTATAACAATATAATTAATGCAGTTTATCAAATATGTGTTTGTTGTTTTACATATTGTTAAAATATAAATGCACTTTAAATATTTAGATTGTATAATGTACGTTTTGTAAAAATACTTTGTCGTGGTTATATACCACTAAATTTTGAATAAGTGCCCGCCCACGATTTGTCTTACCACTATCTTTAACGTGAATATAATATTATTCAAAAGCCCTCTGATGCTTTCATCAATAGAGAACGGAGACATTTATGAAAGGTATAAAAAGCTAAAAATCATCTGAGATTTATTATTTTCTTAATTGGTTTCCATAATAACCTCGCGTCCAATGTAACACATGCATGTATTTCACGATGACTTTTGGAATTTAACAAAAACTTAAGTTTATATCAAAATTTAGTAAAATAGAGTATACTATCCATATACTATTTTTTGCGGGAAGAGCATAACAAAAAAATATCCTATTGAAATACAGTTCATTCATATTTTGTATGTAAAAGTAGAATAGAACTGAGTTGCATGAAGCAATATACTTTCGCGAGGTGACATTTGAGCTCAACATGTTTGCTACATATTTATATACATGTATGTTCTGGTAAATGTTACTATTTTATGTTAAACAAAAGTCACCAAAATTTCAAAAATACGTTTTTAAGCATGCATCCTTAATTAGCTATGTAGTGAACAAAGCTTTTAAAATTTATTTACTTTATACTAACAACAGCAGCAGCGACAGAAACAACAGCATCAGTAGCGACAGTAACAACAGCATCGCCAGTAACAACAACATCAGCAGCGACAGTAACAACAGCATCAGCATCAACAGCAGCAGTAGCGATATTAACAACAGCATTTAACTTAGGGATCTTTATTCGCAATCTTATGTTAAACATTTAACTGCAACACATGTAGTTTTTGATCTTGAAGTTTTATTAATATCTTATCTACATTTTTGTATGTGTGTAGTAAAACAGAATTAACTTTAAATGTATTCAAGAAATTATATTTACTATATGCACAGATGGTGCAGCTTTGACTTTGCTGAAGGAAAAGCAAATGTTCACACATCGACGGAAATGAACAAGGGAATACTATTAAGAAATAACTTTTGATTTTTAAAGGAAGTCCACTCAAAGCTTTTTGCATGATTTCCGAAAGAACTTTCATAATTCTAATTAATGCTTTATAATTTTAGAAACGAGTGATAATTATTAGATACGTGAAACCTGATATCGTATGTTTAACTTTAATTTTTCTATGATATAAAATAATATTATATACAGTCGAGACTGTCATATGTGACTTTCCAAGGGATCTTCAGAAAAAGGTCGCATATGACAGGGAGTCTCTAAATACAGTCTCAAAGAAAATTAAATTTAAATATCATCTATCTGTCTATATACCAATGTGACTTAAAGATCCTGTAATTATGTTTTGTGATTGATATTGTTACTGTGTTTACGTATCTTGCAAAAAAATATATATGGATATAAATATGCAAATAAAACAATTTTCAAACATCAAAGAATATGTTAAATGTTTACTGCAAATATTTGTGCACATTATATTTAATCAATAAATTACATGCATTGATTTCTTATTGGAAAATTTCACTTAGAATTTATAAAAAATAAAGTTCTAATTACCTCCCTTTAATGGCCTTTATTTACATGAAATTAAAAATTGGGTGATATCTTTCTAAATTATGCTTATTTGAATTTTACAATATTGACAAATCTTAATTTGAGCATCATATTTATGAAATAAAACCATGAAAAAATTGTGTTACAGGATCTTGACTGTAAACATATCCATATCCAAAGCTTTTTCTGGTTTCGTATCAATATTTTTTCCGTATTAATTATGCAGCCATAGAAAGGTAAATTAAAAAAATGCTGCCTAAAACATCTTCCGTGGGCACTCTATAATTAAAAAAAATCTAACACAAGTCTTAACCCAATTATGTACATTACACACACATCTATTGCATCATGCTTCCCATGAACAGACGCTACGTCACTTGGTACCTGCATGTATCTACATGCTAACTGTGTAATTGAGATAGAGGTGTGTACAGCGCTGGATTATAATTGGACTTAATTATTTTGGCCCTCTGGGTGTTATAATAGGTATTCTTTATCTGATCAATGGACAATTAAAAGGTGTGAAAGTCGTTTAAATCAGACAAAACATTGCATTGGGACCAGACAATTAGGGTCGTTTGTCACATAAGACAGGGAGTCGTTTAATTCAGACCATTTATATAGGAAAATACGTTGGGAGTACTGAAACAAGGTCGGATAAGACAGGGAGTCGTTTAAATCAGGGGGTCGCTTAGGCAGTCTCGACTGTACTTATTTTTTAAATATTAACTGTAATAAATATATGCTATACGGACAAAGAGCTGTAATAAATATATAATATACGGACTAAGAGCGTCTGTTCTAATAGTTCCATTATGACTAACAATAATTTACAAACGTTATCATGAGATATCACTGTTAAAAGTTAAGATAAAATTGTTTGATATTCAAACACTACAGCGTTGGATATGTTTAGTCTGAATCTAAAAATGAAGAAAACTGGTTGCCAAACCAAACCAAACATGACATTTGAATGTTTATTTGCTTAATATAAATGCGTTCATCTGTTTGATATGTATGCGTCCACTTGTTAAATATATAACATGTATAACAGTCGTATAACTTTACTAACGACAGAAATACACTCAACTAGAATATAGAATAGTAAAATCTTGGAATTTTCCTTTTATCATAAATTATAAATTTTGTAAAATGGTTACAAAATCAAAAAATCGGAATAATTGTTTTTCGTTTTAAATGGTTATGTTGACGGCATGACCCAATCAGAGTGTCGAATACGAAACATCGACCCAGGTGTAAATATTTCTTCATTTTAAAAATAACTGCATTTTTGCCTGACAACTTGACGTTAAATAATAATTTAATAAGAATACTACAAGTATGACAGAGTTATGCATAGAGTGAAGCGGCATTCATTACAGTACATTATTCATTACAGTACCATACAGCTGTGACGTTTAAACAGCAGAGGATAAGCACTGGTCAATATCTGCATTGGATCTTGTAAAAGAATTTCACAATGAACCATGTTCGTTTGATGGTTGGCATGACCTAAATCTCTATGATGCGATGTCACCTTACGACGTCCGTAATTTGATTTCTGTCCCTTAGGCATTTTCAAGAATTTAAAGATCCTGTATATTTTGTGATTGATATTGTTAATGTGTGTATACCACACTTGCAAAAAAATACAATGTATATAATAATGCAAATAAAACAATTTTCAAAATATGCAAAATGTGTACTGCAAAAATTAAAAATTGTGTTACAGGATCTTTAAAATAAGTGAATAGAAAAGTCTTTGGTAATGTTCAACTCTGCAAATATATTTCTCTGAATATTGCAGTTTAGGTCAAGTGGAATATAACAAAAGGGCATATTCTCATCTTGAAATTTAATGACTTTTAATACTAGACCTAAAATGGAGGAAACATATTTTGGTTTAAACATATTTATTTTAGCTTGATTGCGAAACAAGTTCTTGCAACTTATGTTAACCACTTTCGAGTCAGCTTCCTGGAACCCACCAGTACTGGTGTCATATAAAGAACATGTTCGTGACCTGAGTAGGGCTCGAACCCATGATCTTTGGCTTGTGAGGCAGACACTTTAACCACTATGACATTGCTCATTTCGAATCAGCAAATGTTTTTTGGCATCGTTCCTCGACAATTTGTGCTTGTTTTCCTTCATATTTCTTTTCGCTTTATAGAGTATGACAGTAAACATTGTCATGCAATGTTGCATGTTACAGATTTCTAAAATATTCTTTGAATAATGGTTTGCTTTTATAGTTTGTTAATTGGTCGAATTAAGTCACAAATTAAAAAAAAAAGATTTTTTTTTTTGCAAATCATTTCAATATAAATGGATTGGTCTACAATAGGCAGGCAGATACTCCAATTGTGTAATAAAATAATGAAATCAATAGCAGCATTTGGATATTCTTATAAATCATACCTTTCAAAAATGGTACTTAATACAATCAATATAATTATAATGGTTTTACAGATCTTCCAATATGGGCCTATTCACTTTAAAGTCACCAGTATTAATGAATACTTAAAATATATTAAATATGATTATATTTTACTTAACTAAGCCAAGCTCGTGTATATGAACAAATATACAACATAAATAACAATACAGATAAATGTATAAATGATTCTATTGCATTGCATCGGTTATTTTGTTGATGTGTGTGGTGTTTTGTACATTATGTTGATTGTTTGTTCGTTCGTTTGTTTGTTTGTTACAAAAGATTTAACATTATTGCATCCTTGTAACAATTCAGGTTTCTATTTTGGCTGGCAATATTGCTATTCAGACGTAAAACCTTGTATCTTAGTATTTGAGCTGGTCGCGTTATAAGCTACTGACCTTGCCATTAGAACTTATTATATTACATTTCAATCATACAATGTGTTGTGAAAATTTACTTTTTTATACAAATTTCTCAACATTTTTGGTTATTCTCTCAGAAAAATACAACGAGCCTTTAAAAGTCATCACTGTTTATTTAAACATTCGTTACATTTGAGATGCACTAGCATGAATAGGTTACGATATGTACATTAGCTAATCGGTCCTTTGATATTATTTTAAACTAATGTTTACCCTCAAGTCAAGTTTTATTTACTAAATATCAATAGTAATCATAACGGAATAGTAATTTAATTTTCATTATGTATCACTGTTTTGTAATATCTATACATTTGTGTTTGGAAATTTTTCGATTTTATAATCCCCCAAGAACTAAAAGCATTATGTACTTTGGCTTGTTAGATTTCCATTTGTATGATAATGTAATACCCTTCTATAAAACAAATCTAGGATTTATTCATTGCTGACGATTGCACCTTTTTATTATTCCCCGTCCAATACTCCTAACATCGCTATATGGAAAGGCAATTTCAGACAAAATTCAGTTTTGGACATCGCTGCAATATTCAGTTACATTAGCTGTTCGGAAAGCTATATGTACTTAATGCGACTGTGAGTAATAAGGCCGATTTTATTATCGTTGTACAACTTGACTTATTGATTCCATTGTATTTAGTAAACATTTCTGTGATAACCAATAAACGATACTGACTTGACGAAAAGCTACCCCTTATGTACACCCTAAATGCTGAAAGTTACACAGAAATATAGACACTAGTAAAATGCTATACTACGGTGTCGTTTACAGTATAATTTAGATCAATTATTTTAGTAGCAATAACGGATGCTAATAGTTTTGTAACAATGCGCCATACAAATGAAAATTGAGTATAAAAACAATGAGTGTTGCTTTCCTAATGGATGATACTAAATTGTTAAGCGTACAAGAAAATCAATCAAGAAAAAACGAATAATGGATTTCTGAAGAAATTATTACTTTCGAACTTATCATTAGAATTTAAAAGTTATAAATAATTCGTCAATATGCTATATATCGTCGATATTTCATAATAGTCATGAATTTCAAGGACACTTACGATATTTTATTTTGTTTAAAATTCATAGATGGATGCATTGCGACTTCATTCTATAACAGTATAGTGAAAATATTTCAAAACAAAATAAATACTCCTCCAAAACAACGGTTGCTATAGCTGTGGGGAAGGAAAGTGATTTCATAATAATACTATTAAAACCATTTTCAAACATCAAAGAATTTGTTAAAGACATGTATGTACATTACATTTACTATTCAAATGTTCCCTTATAATATCTTTATATTAACTCCTTGAAAGTAATTTATACATCAAAAACCACCTCAGTTTTATTGCTACAACGATTTGCCATCCTGTTTTATGAAATCCTGAGATCAATCTATGAGAAGACATCAACAATGTTGTAACTTTAAAGAAAAAAGCGGACTTGATTATACATGTAAATGTACATTTAGTAAAAGGTTTCGAATTGAGTACAAACTCCTGTCAAATTTTCTCCGAACACATCAACAAAACAACATTTAATTAATCAACATGTAGCAATTGCAATACAGTCAGTCTAGTTCATTTCACAGCCTTTGAATGAGAGTGTTGATTATCCTTGGTAAAAAGCAACAGTTAATTATGCATTTACATGTATACGTTCATGAAAATTTATGCTTCCGCTAATATAAGTTTGACCTATGCTGGAATGTACGCTGATTGGTACCGAGTGATTAAGATGCCTTGGTAA